AAGTAGTGTGTAAATGACTGGAAAAAATTTCCCTGCAAACACGACTCGTTTCGCGGTTCTTGCCGCTCGTCAGGCATGCGTATACGGTAATCTTTTGTCAGTTTATTCGTATACTTGTACCCAGGAAGTGTATTTTCATCATAATGACCTTGTGTGCAACACCGGGTGACTTTTAAATAGACAGCTCTTTCAGAGTAAGTCCACTGAAAAATCAATGCTGTAATTCAGTGTTTTGTAGATGGGTTAGATGCTACTAACCGCAACATCGGTACGCTGATGACATGGTATCGCTCTTCAGTCCTACTTGTGCTTCAAGTCGTTCTACCTATAGCTCATTCAAGTTTCTACCGGAAGTGGTATTGAACCTAAATTCCGAACTAAGTTTATCTTTGAATCAGCCTGCCCGATGCTCAACGTTGGGCTGCTCATTTTAGGGCACAGTTCAGCTGGTCCCCGTCAACACAAGACCTCCCATTGTCCGCTTCAACTGCACAAATACTATCAGTTGACATCATCTGAAATGGAGGTTTCCATGGAAACAAGTTATCTCGAACGGCCTAAGGCTTCCGGCCCCGACGGGCTATCGCCATCGGCTTTTAACAATGGAGACTCAGCCTTGGTTTTGCAGTTGACAAAACTCTTGGACTCAGTGTGGGAAAGGGAACAGGTTCTAACTGAATGGTGTGAATCGGTGATCAGACCGATTTACAAGACAGGTGACGGATCCCCTTGTGAAAACCACAAGGGAACTAGTTTAATCAACATCACTCTAAACTTCTCCGTCGATTGTCTGCCGCACGAGAACGGTGCACCCGTGAGAATCAGGCTGGTTTTAGACCTGGTCAAGNACATCTTTACTCTTCGCCAAATCCTAGAACACGCTTTTCTTGGACCCACTATCTTTGTCTTCCTAGATCTGTAAGCGGCTTTCGACTCAGTCGAGCGTCCTAAACTCTGGCGCTGCCTTTCTCTGAAAGGTGTGCCCGAGAAGTTGATTTCAATATTACAATCGCTTTATACTAATGGCCGAAACCGAGTCCGAGCTTGTGGCACCCTATCTTCGTGCGAGGATAGTCGCGTCGATTTACTCGCAGGTGGCAGGCTGTCTAATCTAGAGTATGCGGACCATATTGTGCTGCTAAGTGAAGATCTAGATAAGTTGCAAGCTTTTCTGGATAGTTTGAGTGTTAGTGTAGCCATGTTTGGTATGCGCTTTGCGCCTTCAAAGTGTAAAAAGACTGGGTTGGTCCAGCACCCAGCCTCACTCTAACTGGGGTAGTAATAAAGGAAGTGGACAAGTTTCGTTATCTGGGTAGCTACATCTCACCCGGTGGACGCATCACGGATGAAGTGTCAGCTCGCATACAGAAGGCTCGGTTGGAATTTGCCAACTTGAGACATCTGTGGCGTCACCGCGATATCCGGCTGTCTGTGAGGGGTCGAGCATATACTGCAGCAGTTCGGCCAGTTCTACTATATGGAGCAGAAACTTGACCATTAAGATAGACTGTCAGTGTTTGAACACCGCTGTCTACGCAGCACTGCATGAATCTGGTGGGGCAGCCGGACGAGGAATGCTGAGGTCAGGCGAGAAGTTTTAGGCAATCGCGGTCGCTCACTTGAGCAAGTGGTCGCCCTCCATAGATCACGTTGGTTTGGGCATGTGTTACGCATGTCACCAGATAGGTTGCCACGGCGAGCGATGTTTGCCATAAATGGTCAAACTAGGACCTGTCATGAGGGTGTGAAAACCCTTACCAGGAGACTAAGTTACATAGGTCCCGTTAGGCCCCCCGGCTGGGGACTACCAGATGATGTTCAGCGATGGTTAGAGAATGATATGGCTGGGCGTCGCAAACAGTGGCGCTCGTGCATCCACTCATTATTCTCTTGGCACCACTCTATATGAATTCTCCTTCCGCTTGAACTTGCTTTCTACATTCCAGTCTTCGCTCTGCTCTTTTATCCAAATGGGGCACCAAAAGACAGCAACCAAAACCGGCGCACGAAAATGCGTGGTTAATGGTCGTAAAAACTGAACTGAACTGAACCACCCAATACTCACCAATTGCTAATCAAACCTGATGGACCAGTAAGCTTTCAATAACAAAAAGCGATCACTGGCTGCGCTGAAAATGATGTCCTATCTCCATCCATCCGCTGCGCGTGACGTCTGTGCCCCTGCACCAAATATCGAGGATGATCAGGCAGCCGCGGAACACATTTAGCGCTTCACCGATTTTAATGTGACAGAGTTCTATCTCCANATTCTTTCGCTGTCGACTGTGTACACAAAGTGACTGAATTTTTCTGGCTCGGTTTTCGGTGTAACAAACATTCCAAAATTACGTTCCGTCGTTCATCACGTTTTGATGTTTAACCCCATTGAAAGCGTTTATTTTTTAGCATGAATCCACAGTACGNACGCGTTATTGGGCATTTTGCAACATGAAGGAAAGATTGAAAAGTTTCTTGATGTCGTTTTTGGATTTCTCATGCGCCGGTATGTCGTAGAACAACAAATTTTATTCGCACCGTTAACAGAACCGACTTTTATCATATTATGACCCCCGATCAGAAGAAATTGGGGTTCCCACCCGGAGTAAATTTCCGCATGGTTGCATATGTGAGTCCTAAGTGTACAAGTGAAACTATTCATGACATATCAGACTTTTGAAAAATATAAAAATATTTTCGAACAATATGAACGTCAGAGAGCTGAATCTGCTGGCTCCACTGCTAACTCGACCGAAGTAAAATCCCAGACTGCCACTTCAAGTTCTTCTGGTAGTTCACCTCTTCAGTCGAGCTCGATCTTTATTGCCCAGTGTAGAATCTGTAAAACCACGTCCGACAGAGCGTGAAAAGAACACTGGTGACTCTTCCCTCGATCCCGTGTCAACAATCGACTCACCGAAAGAAGAACCCAGTACAAAGACTCCTCCAAAACAGCAGTCCGAGGATCCAAAGGATGCTGATGATGAGTATGTCATGTGCTTTTTTCTGTTCCGATTCATCTGTGATTTAGTACCGTACCTGCAGTCTATCAAGCAGATCCTGACTGTTACAATGGTGCTGTGCGTGATCAATACACATGGAGTCAAACGATCAAGGATGTCGATATCAAAGTTCAAGTGCCATCGTTTGTTAAAACAGCGAAGGATCTCAAAGTGACGGTGGAACGTAAACAGATACGCATTGTGCTCAAGGTCGGTGGTGAGGAGAAACCCTATTTTAACAGAAAGTTGTGCTGGGAGATTCAGAAGGACGAGGCAATGTGGACTTTGCATCCAAAAGAAAATCAAGTATGTATCATGATCAAAAGAGACTCCGACTAAAGTTAGCCTGCTGGTTATTGATTGACAATAATTCATATCAAGGAAACCACCGAGAGGTTGCTTTGCAAATCTGCAGTGGTTGAAAAATGATTGGAAAAGAACACCACGTTATCTAGGAACACTTCCTACATAGATGGTTGTCCACTCATGCAAAATACTGATTGCTTAATACAAACAGTTTTCAGGAAGGAGGGATTGTTTGATGAACAGCAGCAGCGGTGAGTCCCATAATCACGAGGACCTACCCTTTCACTTATGAGCACCGGCAACCTTAGCCTCGAAACTCGTAGTGGTGAACCACGATCTTAGGTGTGATCTTGAAGCGGACAGCAGCGAAACTGCTAGTCACCCAAAGTTGAGCAATTGTAAGAGCAAAAGCAAGAGACAAACTTATTTTTGGTGCTCGGGTGGTGGTATAGGAAACCAAGTTTTCTCATTGGTCTGTTACAGATTACTGGGTTTCCTGATTAAGCAGCCATGAGAACAGAAATAGTAAACAAGCTTGTGCTCGGTGCTTCCCAAAAAGCAAGTATTTAGGAATAAAGTTGTCCAGGAGTATTAAGAAAAAAGTGTTCTATTTTACGTTGTTAATAGCTTTCAGTGACAAAAAGCGTCACGTAAGGAATTATCCTCTGGACAATATGAAATTAAAAACAAGATTGGTTCTGGATTTTAATTTGTGAACAAAGGGCTTCTAAAAACTATCTATCCACAGAGGGGTCTTTGGGGTTTTCATCCATGAATACACTTTATTTGAATTCCTACTTTAGTGGTCAATGTTTCCTGCACTGTTAGCAAAAAGCAACACCTATAATCAACACTCAATTTAGATCAGATAAGCGTAACTAATTACTAAATTTGCAACATGCAGTTACTTATTTCATGTCAAAACTAATGTTTCTACCCCCTTGTTTCAAATCCACCACCATTGGTCAGATTCATTTTTGTTTAGACAAAGCTCAGGAGCGTTGGTGGGAAGCTGCATTCGAGGGCGAGGACAAGATTAACACAAGAAAAATTGACTGCTCCAGGCCTATGCACGAACTGGACGAAGAGGCGCAAGCGAAAATCCAGCAGTTGATGTATGATGAGCAATGCAAGCGTCAAGGTCTGCCCACTAGTGAACAACAGGTGAGTTTCTTTTTGTATGCATTTCTATTGTTCAGACTAATACCATAGATGAAAGGTACAACAATCATTTATAATGTCCCGCACTGGGCTAGTAGCTTTTTTATTGTTAGAACCCCGCTGTTTACCCAGCATTGTACGAATCTGGTGGGGCTGCCGGACGAACAATACTGAAGTTAGGCACAGGGTTTTAGGCAACCACTGGAGAAAGTGGTCGATCTCCATCGATTATGTTGGTTGCGGTATATCACCAGATAGGTTGCCATGGCTAGTGATGTTTGCCGAGGCGCGTAGTGGGTGGAAAAAAATCAATGGCGGTCAAGCTAAGACGTGGCATGAAAGTATGAAAACACTGACCAGGGAACTGGTCCCGTTAGGTTCCCTGGCTGGGGACTTCGGGATGATCGTAATCGAGGGTTAGAGTCACTGTGTGATGTGTGCTATATGTCGTAAATAGTGGCGCTCATGCATCTGCTCATTATTCTTGCAACCTCAATCTATATGAATTCTCTATCTTCCGCTTGAATTTGCTCTCAACATTCCTCATCCAAATGGGTAATGAAGATCGGCGCACGAAAGTACATGGTTAGTGGTTGTAAAAGCTGAACTGAAACGTAAGTACTCACTCTCTAGATGGAGTACTTCTACGACCATTTCAGCCGACGTGGTGCTAGCCATCCGCAACTGAAGCTGTGTGGGCATTGTCATGCGATCCTCCGTCAGAAGCAGAAGTGCCGTCTTGCATTCAAGCTCTAATGCGAGGAAAGGCAACAGGACCAGTTGAGTTCCTTCCCACGCTTTTCAAGATGGGGTGATGACGTCGTCGACTCTATTACTAATTTACTGCTCAACATTTGGACACAAGAATGCATTCCGTCGTCTTGGGGCGAATCACTGATCGCTCCCATTTTCAAAAAGGGATCTCGCAACGATAGCGAAAACCACCGTGTTAACCTCCATCATACTTCACCGTTTAACTGTTTTAAGAGGATCCAACACCCGTGAACAGCAAACCGGATTCCAGCCTGACCGTGGATGTATTGATTGAATTTTTACGTTGCGTCAGGTCCTTGAGCTGCGTCACACCGACCGTCTACCAACGATCGCAGTATTTCTTGACCTGAAAGGAACCTTCGACTAGGTTGACCGCGAAACTCTTATGGGTCCCCTTCGAAAAAGAATTACGTTGACTTATTGCGGTCACTGTACTCACATACCTCTGGTCGAATGAAAGTTTATAACGAACTAAGTAGGCCGTTCGTCACCAGCAGCGATTTTCGTCAAGGATGTCCTATTTGGCCATTCCTGTTCAGTTTTGTCGTAGACAAAACACTAGAAAACACTTTAAGTGGTACTACGCAGGTATTGAATGGGCAACTTGAGAAAACCTATGCACTGGTTTGCGCCTACTCCCGCTTTGAAACCAAATAATCAGGAATTAGTTATAGTGGATTGCTTTTCCTACTTAGGTAATTGTGGCTAATGACGGTAGCGCAGCACAGGAGATAAATGTCCGCATTTCCAAGACTCGAGCATCGTTCGCGGGACTAAAACATCTTTGGCGTAGACGAGACTTTTCACGGGAATTTAAAGATGGTGTGCATTGCGCTACCGTTCGTTCAGTTCTGCTCTATGGATATGAGACCTTGAATGTGCCAGTTCATTTCAGTTCAGTTTGCCAGACCTTTAACCATACACTTCCGTGCGCCGGTTTTGGTTGCTGTCTTTGGATGAACAGCGGGAGAAAAACAGGAAGGTTGAAAGTAGAGTAAGTAGTGGCGCAGTGGTTTAGTCGCTGTCACAGGCGGGCTTTGGATCTTATGGTCCGAGGTTCGAGCCCCGCCACCCAGCTTCGGTGGTAGGCAGCTTTGCTGTCTTCCGGTTCAATACCACGCCTAACCTATCGGGGGCTTATGTGGTTCGCCATTCCAAGTTCCGGGGCTTAGGTTACCGGTTTCCATCACTGAACAGCAGGTCTTCGTGACTAGGGGGTTTACCTCGTCTAGTGTTCATCACACGAGTGTGTAATAAAAAAGAGTCGCTCTTGCGAGTGGAAGATATCCATTCACTAGAAGTTATCGGTGTTTACGTAGGTTAACCCATGTGGGATAGAGCTAATGGAGGTGACCCGTCGTCTGTTTGGGGGTTTCTCGGGGATACATTTGTCAGCTCTGCGAATTCAGATTAGTAAACTTCGCTGGCCAGGGCACGTATTTCGTA